CGGCGATTGCACGACCGAAAGTAGCCATGGGTTTTGCTAGTTGAAAGGAAATAACAACTGATTTGTACTGTAAGATGGTCTGTGGTAATCATTGGCTCCATTTAGTTTCCATTTCTATGCAAGGTGAATCCAATAAGTGAAATTTTGTTTATCAAAACAGTGTAACCATAGTCCCTTTCGGTCGTGCAATCTCCCTTCGACAATTGCCGTTCGCCGTTCTCCCCGACAACGTTTTTTGAAATAGCTGTATGTATTAGTTAAGAGTGAATAATCTGGACTAGTCRCCTWAAGTACGAGCAGAACGCAAGAGCAGAATTTATGTGACCCTATCCCTCTYGTCCACACGAGTCCAGAAATTTTTGCTTCCGGATTTCTTTTTATCCGAATACAAAAATATCTGTATACGAATCGTATACGAGTGAACTACATGCTCCTCTACGTAACCGGGAGGTCAACAGAGCATGCGCATTTAAAAGGATGCTGAGCCTGCGATAATCTTTAATTTTGGTGCTGTAATTTGATTTCATCGTATACAAAAATATCCGAGGATACCAGMGTCCACACATATTCAACATTTATCGGTAGACACATCATATACAGATTTTTCCACTCTCAAATAAGAGCATGTACAGAAATTATTGGTTTATATGATGACATAGTTTTACCTTGCACTTGGATCGTACTCAGACCACACTCGAACAAACTCGTCCAGATGATGAGGGCCTAGGATTGACTCGTCTCTCGTCAAATATTCAAAATTGTCCATGATGACAGCAACAAACAGATTCAGCATCTAAGTAAATACAAATCAAACGAAAAATAAAGTATTCCCTACGTGGAAGCCACGCAACAGAAATATGCACAGGAAGCCCGACTTACCAGAAACATACACAGGAAGATGAACGAGCAAAAATAGATCACAGCAAGTGGTGTATTTCCACAATCTTCTGACAAACTATAGTAGAATAAAAGTTATTGTTACAATGTTGAGGTAACTTAAAGAAAAAGTTGCCCTCGCACAAAAATATCAACTTATTGACTTGGCTTAAACTGAGCGAATACGAAATGAGATCGCTGTATAGTCTCCTTCACGGTTACCTGCGCCATCTTGAAAGGTAGCCGTGCCTTGTCATCGAAGCGAGACAACCGTTAAGCGTGCAATGATAAAAACCTTCTTTCACACCTATAGACAATTATTCACAGGTATCTATCATTGCACGCTCAACGGTCGTCTCGCTTCGGTGCAAAGGCACGGCTACCTTTCAAGATGGCGCAGGTATCCGTRRAGGASWGTATTGCCTATCATTGTGGGAATTTCCCACTTYCTTCCCAACTAAAGTCGAAAACCGCGCAACAAACCTTGGGGCTGTCTTGGGATCACAACTCGTAGGATTCTCTTCATTGATGCARGGATCGCACTTTGCACCATCAAAACAAGACCTCATGATTTCATGCCAGTTTTCACCAGTCGCTGACCTGTTGTAAGACGAAAGGTACCGTTACGCGGTGAATATTCTCAGAAACTTGTCGAGAAAAACCGTTGCGACATAACTTGCTCAAAACTTGTACAGTTGTAATAGGGTTCGTCTCGAATTGTTTTTCTTCGTTCCGAGTAGCTAGAGTTGACACGATTGGTGATTGACAAACGGCGCGGATTGTACGACCAAAATGGGTATTCTTATTTTTATCATTTTCCCGGACAAAACATTTGAGACTTTTCTTGAAAAAGGTTGAATTTCAATGATC